GGTCTCTCTAAGCGAGATCCCAATTTCGTCGGTCATCCGACGTGACGTCGAGAGTGACCGACTGAAAGGGAACGTCTCGGTTACGTATGGTAACCCTCGTTCCCTGAAGGAGGGAACGGAGACGTCACGTCCCGTCGCCACAGCTCCTGTACCACCGCTGAGCGGCCGGGTCACCGGCTCGGCTCCTCAGCGAAAACCTGAATATGCGCTGCATCTGCTGCCTACTTATACTCACGCTGTGATCAGCGGCAGCTGGATGCAATAATCGCATGCCAGTGTGCATTGGCTCGTTTAGTTTACACTCGAAGTAGATTGGTCTCTCTAAGCGAGATCCCAATTTCGTCGGTCATCCGACGTGACGTCGAGAGTGACCGACTGAAAGGGAACGTCTCGGTTACGTATGGTAACCCTCGTTCCCTGAAGGAGGGAACGGAGACGTCACGTCCCGTCGCCACAGCTCCTGTACCACCGCTGAGCGGCCGGGTCACCGGCTCGGCTCCTCAGCGAAAACCTGAATATGCGCTGCATCTGCTGCCTACTTATACTCACGCTGTGATCAGCGGCAGCTGGATGCAATAATCGCATGCCAGTGTGCATTGGCTCGTTTAGTTTACACTCGAAGTAGATTGGTCTCTCTAAGCGAGATCCCAATTTCGTCGGTCATCCGACGTGACGTCGAGAGTGACCGACTGAAAGGGAACGTCTCGGTTACGTATGGTAACCCTCGTTCCCTGAAGGAGGGAACGGAGACGTCACGTCCCGTCGCCACAGCTCCTGTACCACCGCTGAGCGGCCGGGTCACCGGCTCGGCTCCTCAGCGAAAACCTGAATATGCGCTGCATCTGCTGCCTACTTATACTCACGCTGTGATCAGCGGCAGCTGGATGCAATAATCGCATGCCAGTGTGCATTGGCTCGTTTAGTTTACACTCGAAGTAGATTGGTCTCTCTAAGCGAGATCCCAATTTCGTCGGTCATCCGACGTGACGTCGAGAGTGACCGACTGAAAGGGAACGTCTCGGTTACGTATGGTAACCCTCGTTCCCTGAAGGAGGGAACGGAGACGTCACGTCCCGTCGCCACAGCTCCTGTACCACCGCTGAGCGGCCGGGTCACCGGCTCGGCTCCTCAGCGAAAACCTGAATATGCGCTGCATCTGCTGCCTACTTATACTCACGCTGTGATCAGCGGCAGCTGGATGCAATAATCGCATGCCAGTGTGCATTGGCTCGTTTAGTTTACACTCGAAGTAGATTGGTCTCTCTAAGCGAGATCCCAATTTCGTCGGTCATCCGACGTGACGTCGAGAGTGACCGACTGAAAGGGAACGTCTCGGTTACGTATGGTAACCCTCGTTCCCTGAAGGAGGGAACGGAGACGTCACGTCCCGTCGCCACAGCTCCTGTACCACCGCTGAGCGGCCGGGTCACCGGCTCGGCTCCTCAGCGAAAACCTGAATATGCGCTGCATCTGCTGCCTACTTATACTCACGCTGTGATCAGCGGCAGCTGGATGCAATAATCGCATGCCAGTGTGCATTGGCTCGTTTAGTTTACACTCGAAGTAGATTGGTCTCTCTAAGCGAGATCCCAATTTCGTCGGTCATCCGACGTGACGTCGAGAGTGACCGACTGAAAGGGAACGTCTCGGTTACGTATGGTAACCCTCGTTCCCTGAAGGAGGGAACGGAGACGTCACGTCCCGTCGCCACAGCTCCTGTACCACCGCTGAGCGGCCGGGTCACCGGCTCGGCTCCTCAGCGAAAACCTGAATATGCGCTGCATCTGCTGCCTACTTATACTCACGCTGTGATCAGCGGCAGCTGGATGCAATAATCGCATGCCAGTGTGCATTGGCTCGTTTAGTTTACACTCGAAGTAGATTGGTCTCTCTAAGCGAGATCCCAATTTCGTCGGTCATCCGACGTGACGTCGAGAGTGACCGACTGAAAGGGAACGTCTCGGTTACGTATGGTAACCCTCGTTCCCTGAAGGAGGGAACGGAGACGTCACGTCCCGTCGCCACAGCTCCTGTACCACCGCTGAGCGGCCGGGTCACCGGCTCGGCTCCTCAGCGAAAACCTGAATATGCGCTGCATCTGCTGCCTACTTATACTCACGCTGTGATCAGCGGCAGCTGGATGCAATAATCGCATGCCAGTGTGCATTGGCTCGTTTAGTTTACACTCGAAGTAGATTGGTCTCTCTAAGCGAGATCCCAATTTCGTCGGTCATCCGACGTGACGTCGAGAGTGACCGACTGAAAGGGAACAGAATTGTGCGATTTGCATGTTTATATATAAACTCAGAATTGCAATTCTATTGTAATTGAATACATGAATATTTCTATTGAAATAAATTGTTGCAAAAACAGGCTTCGATTTATGTATTAATATCATATATATATATGCTGTACGATACTGAAATGTAACATAAAATGTTTGACTTCGGGCTTAAGAGTCGATCTATTTGTGGAGTCCTCCCCGGACTGTGTATTTGCACAGGGATTCCTGTTTATCCAGTCAGAAATACATTGCTCTGCACACAGACTCTCCATTCAGGCCAGGCGCGTGTGGCGTGGGTGAATGTGAGCGTAAGTGTATGGCAAGCCGTTTTAACATTTAATCTATAAGCCGTACTAGTACCTATTTTTTAGAAACTCTACACTGAGAGACTCTCTGTGCTATAGGACTGGGGTTAATTACAGTAAATTACCCCTGCAGTTCATTTAACACCAACCCAGTATGTACAGCAAAACTGCATCTACTAACTTAAACACACACTCAGACAGAGAACTCCTTCATATCTACAAACTCTCCTGATCTGGACACTGAAAGACTAAAGTGAAACCAATGCTGGATACAAACTCATACTGTTCCTTAAAAAGACTACTAACTAAAATGATAAGATTTGACTGCTAACTAGATTTGCAATTCCTGAAGGACACTGCTTGCAAGGCAGCAAAAGGATCATGTTGAAGTATCAAGTACATTTAGGTTGTAGTCTTTGGTTTTTGGCTTTTGGCATTATGCATTTTGTTTTCTGTCAGCTGCACACAAGAAGTAAAACAGTTGTGAGGTGAAAAGGTGCATGTAAATAGTTAAAATATGCAAAGAGACTAAACCAATCACAATTCAGTATGCAAATACATGTAAGAAAGAAGACCAATCACAAACATTCATTCAACAATCATATGAGACAAACCTGATACTTAAATGAAACATGACAGAGAACTCCATTAAGGTTCCTGAGCTATTAAAGAGCAACCTCATGGCAATCAGATATTCCTCTGGGTGATGCTATACAGTAACTGCAGCAGTGCTAGTATTTATAGCATTATTGTAAGCTGCCATCGTCGCCCTGCTCTTCTTACAGACGCAGTCGAATCATAAGCAGACTTTTGCATCTTTTAGTCTGTCTTTTAGCTTGATGCTACACTAAAAGTTGGAAAAATATATTCTTTTTAGCACACTGCCATTAAAAAGTTTGGGGTCGGGTTTAAATGATTTTAGTCTCCTATGCTCACCAAGGCTACATTTATTTGATAAAAATTACAGTAAAAACAGAAATATAGTAAAATCTTATTACAATTCAAAATAACTGGTTTCTATTTGAATATATTTTCAAATGTAATTTATTCCTGTGATCAAAACTGAATTTTCAGCGTCATTACTCCAGTTTTCAGTGTCACATGATTCTTCAGAAATCATTCTAATATGCTGACTTGCTTATCAATGTTGCTTTTATTATTATCAGTGTTGCTTACTATTTTTGTAAAAAAAAAAAAAACTATGTATTTTTAGGATGTTTTTATGATTAGAAAATTTATTAAAAATGAATACAAAAATGATTCCTTTAAATATATATATATGTGTGTGTGTGTATGTGTGTAAATAAATGTCACTCTTGATCAATTTAATGCATCCTTGCTGAATATATATTCTATCGCCCTACACCAACCCTACACCAAAACTTACCCCTCACAGGAAACTTTCTGCATTTTTACTTTCTCAAAAACAAAACTTTTTCTGTATGATTTATAAGCTTGTGTACCCATGGGGACCTCAATTTAGGTCCCCACAGTGACACAAGTCCCCATGAGTCTGTGTGTATTCAGGTTTAAGTCCCCACCAGGATATATAAACCTGTACGCACACACGCACACACACACACACACACACACACACACACGTTCTGTGAATTCTGGGGACTTTTTTATACACTTCTATTACTTTTACTGACCAAACGATATTTTCTATCCCCTAACCCTAAACCTACCCCTTACAGTAAACCTGTTTGCATTGTTACACTACCACAGGCCGGTCCCCACAATGTCAACATTTTCAGATTTTACTATATTTGTAGAGACATTTGGTCCCCACAATGTTGCATAAACAAGTACATACACACACACACATATATATATATACAGTATATAAACACAATTAATGGATGATCCATCATTCTTTTTCTAATTTCTGTCACAAAAAATTATCTCTAGAATGACAGTTTCCCCTTCCCCTAATGATACCTACTTTGAGTCACATGGACTACTTCTATGATCCTATTATGGTATTTCTATGGTACATTTTGAGAGCCTAACTCCATCCAATTACACTGTATGGAAGTAAGCATCATAATCATCAAACGTTCTCCTTTTGTGTTCCGAAGGAGAAAGACAGTCATCAACATCAGCAAATATTAACAGAAATGTACTTTATCATCCAATATAAATCCATTTATCACCAAAATGTGACTACAATAATCTATTAGTTAAGAATGCAGTGACTGAGTCAGAGAGAAAATCTTCTCTTCTCAGTCATCTCTGGTGGCCAGCAAAAGAACGCCTTGTGTGTTGACTAGGTGTAAGGTCACTTACAGATGGAGAAAGTCTCTCTCTCTTGAAAATGTCAGACAGGAAGAGGGTTGTGATTTGGTGGCTGACTCTATGAGACGTGCTTGTGTACAGCTGGCCGCTGGAAAGAGAGGGTAGGCGGCAGTTACAAACGCTCCTCTTAACTCACTGACAGCCTCTGGCACTACTCCGAGTGAGAGAGGGCGAGCGAGAGAGAGACATTTCTGAGCATAGAGGGGGAACTTGTTCAGTGGTGGACTTCTATCATGCTGAACTGACCAGCCAGCGTCTTCCCTCTGGAATACTTTACCAAACAGCTGCTAGGACGAGACTCGCAACACAGGGATCATTTCACTGCAAGACGCCAAAATGCTCAGCTTTGGTGAGTCTTTCATTCCTCTTCGGTGGAAACTTACATGCGACATTTAGCCACACCTGATTCAGAGCTCAGAAACAGATGTTAAGACACAAACACACACAGTTCACCATGTCAGGTTAAATGGCATCAACCAAACACATGCAGAGAAAATAGCATTGCATGCAATCACTGCACGCGTATCCCAGAGCTTGTGCATGTTTCCTTTGATACTGTACTGAACTCCAGACGCTAATGTTTGTCATAATTAGATCGGATGGAGACAGATCCATCAACGTGGTCCCAGCTAAACCATGCAATCTGTCCAATGCATCAGTGGAAGCATAACATGCGCTGATTCATACTGCAGTTATGAGAGTAACGTACAATTTATAACCATTATAAAAAAGTTGAATGTGGTGTCTCAGAGTAATTGAATGCAGAGTTTGCTGGGACGGCTTTTAGTCATTGCATAATATGGAAATGGTTTGATTAAAAAAAGCACAGCTTGCTGGGATCTGACAAATGCTTTTGATTAAAGGAGGAATTGTTTATACTTTCATAAACAGTGACAGAGGGGTAATAAACAAGAGAAACGTGAAAACGAAACAATGGAAATCTGCAATCTAGACTACTTGAACTAGCTATTCAGTTAGTTTGCAAATAGCAATAATTACCCTAGCAACCACCTAGTAACATCCCAGCAACCACCATTATGTTTCATGCATTATTCAGTTGTGTTGTTGTTGTGGATAAAAGGCTGTCTGATCATCAGGGGGGACAGGAACAAACAAACAAACACATTTTCTAAAGGTTTTCATTGTCATTGATTTATTAAAATGCTACTTCTGTCAAATCATCATGTCACTTCATAATTTCCATGAACTAGTGTTGCTTTTGGTCTATTTTTCTTTCAAAAGTCTTCAAACTAAACAGTATGACGGCTCTGCGCCATTACATCAATGGGTGAGTCAACACATTTCAAACGGGAAACAATTTCATACTGTGCCACTGAAATGACTGCAAATTATATTCTGCACACAGTTCCTGCAAATAACATAAAAATAGACGGAATGTGCCATTAAAACCTTTCACCTACATCTTACCATCTTAGGTCAGTTTACCTATATTGCAATGTGCCAAACCTTTTTAGCATATTTTTTCACTTTTTAAAAACATGCTCAAGATGCTTGCAATGAAGAAAACATATGTTTTGTTCCAGGATCAGATTAAACAATTTACTCTAGTCTCAAAATGTTTACAAAAGTGATCGTCAAAGTGAAGACGCTTGTTTCCTCATATGTTAGTCGCTTTGGATAAAAGCATCTGCTAAATGAATAGATGTAAATGTAGACTATCAGCCAGAGAGCTGATCTCAGTGATTGCAACACATGTTGGCAGATATATTGCTACTTTTGCTCCGACTTAAAGCAGACAAGCACAAGGCTGATATTTCATCATGAATAACCCAGTACATCTCAGTGATTCATCCAGACATCCATTAAGAAAAAACGACCACACAAACATACAGGCTCTGTTTTAAAACACAGTGAGCTGCCCTGCTGTCTACAGCACATGCATTTGAAACACCATACAAAGGCAGGAGCTCAACTCAAATGGGTTTCAATAGAATTTGGTGTTAGCTAGGGTGACTATATGTTCTCCTTTTCCCGGAAATGTGTTGGTCAGGATTTCTAAATTACCTAAAATATCTGGGTTTTGGCTTTTTTTTTTCCAGAAGGTATTGACTGAAAAGTAGTTTGACCACAGGCTTTGATCGACCAATCATGGGGCGTGAGAAAGTGGGATCTAAAGAGAATGGACTGTAGAGAGCATGTCAATAGGAAAACAAAGCCAAAATCTAGACATTTAGGCATTTCTGGTGTTGAATGCATTCTAAGTATATTTATTATTAAAAGCATTTCTCTCACTCCATTTGCCATCTTGAATGTATTTTGCCACACTGCTGTAGCTATATCACTATTAGTCAAACAAAGTAGTCGCAATAATTTATTCCAAAAATGACAAAAAGCACAATAACAGAATACCAAACAACTTACAGCTTAATGTAAGGAACAAAGTAAAACTCAAGTCTCTGTGAACTGAACAGTCACATTTACATCTCATTCAAAAGATAAATCCAAATGTCTCAATTGGTCACGACACACAAGAGTCAATGGAAATTCACATTAAAGCTACCTTTAACGCATTATCATGTTAACATTTATTTAGGTGGCCATTTTTGAATGTGTGCAGGTCTGTGGGTTTGATTTGAGTGTTTCTATGAATTGGGATGGCGATGACCTTTGAGACTGTTCATTACACAAAGCAATCGCTTGACCTCGCAAGACTTTGATTTTTTGATTTTAAATAAATTGTTTTAAAATTATAATTATACAGTATATTGAGATTTTTTAGATTTAGAATTTGGTTAGGTGCTAAGTAATATCTACATAACAATACAATGTGACTAAAATAATTCAAACTGACAATCATCCTCCAACAAATAATTTCATGATTTAAAAAAATCCCCATGTCTTTGGCACCAGTATATTGACACCAAAGGTTACAGTGTTCAAGTCCTCTTTGCATAATTACGACATCAGATGTGTTTAAGTTGGAGCAAGATGCAAGTTGGCGATGCACGTTTTCAATAATTTAGCAGAATTCTTCAAACCCTATTCTACAAAAAATGATAAAGAATGTGCATCCCAATTCATAGAAAACACTCAAATCAAACCCACAGACCTGCACACATTCAAAAATGGCCACCTAAATAAATGTTAACATGATAATGCGTTAAAGGTAGCTTTAATGTGAATTTCCATTGGCTCTTGTGTGTCGTGACCAATTGAGACATTTGGATTTATCTTTTGAATGAGATGTAAATGTGACTGTTCAGTTCACAGAGCCTTGAGTTTTACTTTGTTCCTTACATTAAGCTGTAAGTTGTTTGGTATTCTGTTATTGTGCTTTTTGGAATAAATTATTGCGACTACTTTGTTTGACTAATAGTGATATAGCTACAGCAGTGTGGCAAAATACATTTAAGATGGCAAATGGAGTGAGAGAAATGCTTTTAATAATAAATATACTTAGAATGCATTCAACACCAGAAATGCCTAAATGTCTAGATTTTGGCTTTGTTTTCCTATTGACATGCTCTCTACAGTCCATTCTCTTTAGATCCCACTTTCTCACGCCCCATGATTGGTCGATCAAAGCCTGTGGTCAAACTACTTTTCAGTCAATACCTTCTGGAAAAAAAAAGCCAAAACCCAGATATTTTAGGTAATTTAGAAATCCTGACCAACACATTTCCGGGAACAGGAGAACATATAGTCACCCTAGCTAACACCAAATTCTATTGAAACCCATTTGAGTTGAGCTCCTGCCTTTGTATGGTGTTTCAAATGCATGTGCTGTAGACAGCAGGGCAGCTCACTGTGTTTTAAAACAGAGCCTGTATGTTTGTGGGGTCGTTTTTTCTTAATGGATGTCTGGATGAATCACTGAGATGTACTGGGTTATTCATGATGAAATATCAGCCTTGTGCTTGTCTGCTTTAAGGTGCTGGAACAGAGCCTCACCGTTCATTGCATCAGGATCCATGCTGCTAACGAGCCTAGACAAAGCTCTCTCGGTAGACTAATTACCCTATCAAACTTCAGCAGCACCAGAACATTAGAACAACTTTGTGGACGCTGGAGTCATTTGTCAGTTTTTGAAGTTGGGACTTTTTGTGGCAATCAGTGCCAGAGAAAACAAAGGAGCTGCTGGGTAATGTAGTGTTTAAAGGCCAAGAGTGGAGATCCCACTTTTTCACGCCCCATGATTGGTCGATCAAAGCCTGTGGTCAAACTACTTTTCAGTCAATACCTTCTGGAAAAAAAAAGCCAAAACCCAGATATTTTAGGTAATTTAGAAATCCTGACCAACACATTTCCGGGAAAAGGAGAACATATAGTCACCCTAGCTAACACCAAATTCTATTGAAACCCATTTGAGTTGAGCTCCTGCCTTTGTATGGTGTTTCAAATGCATGTGCTGTAGACAGCAGGGCAGCTCACTGTGTTTTAAAACAGAGCCTGTATGTTTGTGTGGTCGTTTTTTCTTAATGGATGTCTGGATGAATCACTGAGATGTACTGGGTTATTCATGATGAAATATCAGCCTTGTGCTTGTCTGCTTTAAGGTGCTGGAACAGAGCCTCACCGTTCATTGCATCAGGATCCATGCTGCTAACGAGCCTAGACAAAGCTCTCTCGGTAGACTAATTACCCTATCAAACTTCAGCAGCACCAGAACATTAGAACAACTTTGTGGACGCTGGAGTCATTTGTCAGTTTTTGAAGTTGGGACTTTTTGTGGCAATCAGTGCCAGAGAAAACAAAGGAGCTGCTGGGTAATGTAGTGTTTAAAGGCCAAGAGTGGGAGCTGCAGCTGCTTTCATAAAGTTTCATTTGTGGAGGTTATAATATTTGTAGACTTCAAAGGGGGGAAATATTTTAATTATCATATGAGCAATCTGAATAAGATTGAGGGTAATGTCTTTCCATATAAGTGATTGATGTAAAAGTAATGTGGATTAAATATCTAATAAATGTTTGACAGGTTTCAGAATAAGGGATAGTTCACCCAAAAACTGAAAATGTACTCACCCTCACGTGAGATCCCCATTGGTGGATAAAAAAATGTACTCAATTGATCAATCAATCAATGAAAATATTTGGAGTATACCTTCTGTAAATTCCAATTAGTAAACCTTACTTAAAAAAAGCATGCAAACCGATTGCCTTGAAAAAAACAAGTAAAGTGAAATAAGAATAGTAATTTGTAATAACAAAGGTTTATTTAGTGTTGTAAACTTACACGCAAGTTCTGGTAACTCAGAATCACTATTTTCAACAACTAAATGAATAAGTACAATATACTATGTGCGTATTTCAAACAACTCTTTTA